CTTGTTGATGCGCAGATGACCCAAAGCCTATTGATACTCGGTCATTGATCCCTGACTCTGAAGGAATGCATTGTGTTCTTATAGTAGAGCCTCTCGCCGGGGAATGGTGTCGGAGTAGCAACCCTGATAGGGCGGGCTGCCACGCGAGCTGAACAACTGGACCCGCTATACAGTCAGAACTAATGTAGGGACATAGATTTTTCTTCACGCCAAGCCATGAAAACGAGGTGACTATCCTCATCTATGGGGGACCATCAGCCTCAGGGACACTAAAGGACACTAAGAGGCACTAACCCGCCGCTAAAAGACGGGGTTTGTGCCTCATGATTCCCATAAACCCTCACGCAGCTCGTGTTCGGTAATTTGCTTACGCTCGGCAGCTGAAGTAGATTACTGATCCGTCTCCACTACTACGGCGCATGTGGTTTCTGCATGACTCGTCACTGCAGATATATAGTAAATATTGCCCTTGCATGTTCAGTTTGAGGGGAGCTTCACCTTACCCATTTTCTAGTTCACAACCGGCCATGTCCCGGTTGTACGCCCTCTTAGGGCTCCTCGCCTCCGCGGCCGCGCTCAACCCCTCCTGCAGCCCCGGGGGCAACTTCGACCTCACCAAATGGAACCTCCAACTCCCCACGGGAAGCACGGGGAGTCCTCAGACGATCTCGGGGTCGTCGTTAGCCGGATGCAGCGGCTACAGCAGCAGCGTCTTCTACACGGACGGCTCGACCGGCGAGCTGGTCATGACGGTGCCGGGGTCCCCGTCGAGTGCGGGCTGCGTCACCACGCCCAACAGCAAGCACTGCCGGACCGAGTTTCGCGAGATCAGCCCGTCCAGCTGGAGTCCCAACAATGGGAACAATCGATTGCGGGTGACCTTGTCAGTGCCGCAGCCGGACGACTCGTCGCATGGGACGGTGATCGGACAGATCCATATCGATGACTCGATCTCTTCGTGAGTACCAGCTTCCTACCGTTGACTTGACATGAATGCTCATTCGATTGTAGAAAGCCCGTCTGCGAGTTGTTCTACAGCTCCTCCGGCCAAATCACGATGGGGGTGGAGCGCACCCGCGCCGGCGGCGAACTGCTCTACACCACCATCGCCACCATCCCCGTGGGCACGACCTTCACCTACGAGATCCGGTACGAGAGCGGCCAGCTCTCGGTGGCGGTCAACGATGGCGGGTTTGTGCAGCTCTCCCAGTACGAGCTGGCCAACCCCAACAGCTACTTCAAGGTGGGCAACTACAACCAGGGCGACTCGTACTCCGAGGTGCGCATCCAGTTGATCACGGTGACGCACGGGTCGGCCGCCTCAAACACGGGCTCCGCGCACCCCGTGTCGACCATCTCCGTGGCCGGGATCGGGCCGCGGGAGGTTCTGTATGCGCTCGACGCGACGGTGAAGCCGTACCCGTCGCCGACGGGGGCGTGCGCCGCGGCGCCGACCAAGTACTCGGACAGCACGGTCAACCTGCGGTTGTACTATGAAGATAACTGCTGCCATGACGTGGAGACGGCGCATATCGGGACATTCAACGTGTGCCATAACTCCGATGGTCCGTTTGCCTCCATTGAGCAGGCTGTCGGGGCGAATCTGTTCGACCGCGGCATCCATATCGTCGCCTACGATGGGCTGGACTGCACCGGGGGCTCGACCAGTTTTAGTTTGAGTAATAGCAAGGGGTGTCAGGCCGTGACCAGCGGGACCAAATACCAGAGCTTCATGATCAGCGAGCCGCAGACGTGTGCGGTGACGGGCCCGGCCATCGCGAGCGACAACACGGTGACGATGGAGCTGTATTCGGATGTGGGCTGCTGCACCACGGTGGAGACGATCAAGATGGGCAACACAGGGACGTGCCATGAGGCGGACGCGGCGTTTCACTCGTTCAGCCAGGCGGTAGGCACCAACGAGTTTGGGTGGAATATCCACATCCACACCTTCACCGAGTCCGGGTGTCAGGGCACGTACGACTCGTTCTCGCTGTCGAACGCGGCCACCTGCAACAAGAATGGGGTCGCGTGGAAGAGCTTCATGATCGCGCAGGACTGCGCGCGGCACGATCTGACGGCCAAGAATGATAATACCGTGTCGTTGGCGCTGTATCGCGACGGCGAGTGCTGCGTGTTCAATGGCGAGGATATCGACCTGGGGACCGTGGGCAGCTGCCACAATGCCAACGAAAAGTTTGGGAGCATCACCCAGGCGGTCGGACAGAACATGTTCGGGAAAAAGGTCCATGTCCAGCTCTTTGAAGGGGCTGATTGCACGGGGACGATGAAGGACCACAGTCTGACCAACGCGGACGGGTGGTGCAGCGCGGGCGGAGTGGATGAGGAGTTCCAGAGCTTTTGGATCAAGAGACAGTGCGATGCGCACGAGCTGTCTGTGACTGACAGCTATGAAGTGGCGCTGGCCTTCTGGCAGGATGGGAACTGTTGCGACTATCAGACTGAAGCCCAGCAGGGCCGGTTCGTGATCGGCGAGTGCCGCAACACCGAGGCTCCGTTTGGCAGCGTCACGCAGGCCGTGGGCCAGGACGTGTTTGGGAATAACATTCACATCCAGGTGTACGAGGGTCTGGGCTGCACCGGGTCGAGCAAGCGATTCAGCCTCACGAATGCGGATGGGTGGTGCAGTGACGGGGGGGTGGCCGAGCAATATCAGAGCTACAGCATTGCGCCAGAGTGCGGGTGGAAGGATCCTGCGAATACCAACGCTAACACCGTCACCATCGAGTTATACTCCGACGTGTCCTGCTGCTCATATGTCAGCGAGACGGTTCTTGGTGTTGCCAGTACTTGTCATAATGCCCCATCGAGCGGTTCCGTGGCTGGGATGGGCATTGGGGCCGGTTCTTCGTGGGATGGTGCGCTGCTGGAGCTTTACGGTGAGAATGATTGTGCAGGAGACTTCAAGTATTTCGAGTTGTCGGGAGACCTTGCTGGGGCATGTGCTGTTACCGGAGGTGTAGTGGCCAGCTGGCGTTTAGTGGAGAGTCAGCAGGTCAGCAGCTGATTTAGGATAGGAGTAGGAATAGAGGTCTAACCTTTGTAGATCCAAGACAGCCTACTGAGCCGGTAGAATCAGGTTAACGAAGTATTGATGAGAACTTATATAGTGAAATTTTGTAAGAGGTTGATTTTTTCACTGAGAGTGTGTGGAAGATCACTCATCTTGTCTGGATCTGTCCGCCCCGCACTATATTTAGAGGTAGTCGTGAGTGGTGAACGAACCCAAATTAAGATAACACCCCCAAACAAGAACAGAGATTGAATCTTATAGATACCAGGGAGACCCCTGGACCTCTCTTCTCAAGACAGACGCCAAAGAACAATCAGAACATTGTATAGAATCATGGGGCTCTGAAGATTTCCGGGGGGGAACCCCCGGTCCCCCCTTTTTCTATCAGAATAACAAATAGGCTACAAGAGAATAACTTCCCAGAATACCGGGGGAGACCCCCGGACCCCCCTGCCTATGTCAAGGCAATATCACAGACCATGCAATCGAATAGACGAACTGAGAAATCAACAAGAAAACAAGGGATGTACTGCACACCCTTCTTGTGACAGAAGAAGAGGAAACTACAATATCATATAAGAGATTCCTTATAGCCAAACAGATCAACAGAGAGATAGAGAAGCACAGTATCATCAACAAAATTTATTAATCTGATAAGAAGACCGCGGGCGAGCCCCGGGCCTATGAAAACGACCTCCCAAAGACAATCACTCAATCTCCACCACCTCAACCCCCTCTCTCACAGCCTCATTCCTCCCCGGAACAAACGGCAACGCCTCCCTCAACCCCACCAGGAACCTCTCCACGAACCCATCATCATCGACCGGGCCCCGGATACACTCCACCAGCGCGACCCCCTCCCCCTCCCCCTCCTCCTCGTCGGCCGACCCCAGCGACCCAGCATAATCCACCCGGTACCCAAACGCCACCTCGGGCGCCCCCTCCCACGCCGCGCCCACCGTCACCAACCCGACGACATCGACCCCGTCGCGCACGACCACCGGCCAGCACTCCCAGAGCACGCGCTTGCGGCGCGCCAGCTCCGCCTCCCGGCAGGGATCCGGGAGGAAGGTGGCGCGCGCCGGCGCGGCGGTGGGGTAGGGCTGGCGCTCCTCGCGGGGATGCGGGGTGATCACGATCAGGAAGACGCCGTGGGCGGGCGTGGAGACGGCCAGCTGGGTGTAGTGCAGGGTCAGGTCGCCCGGGTAGTTGGTTTCGCGCGGGGTGGCGGTGATGGTGTAGGTTTGGGTCTCGGTGTCCGGGAAGAGGCTGCGCAGGCGGTGGAGCCATTCGGCGTAGCGGTTTGCAGGTCTCATTTTGCGGTTCTCTTCGTTGCCGGGGGTTTTGGTTAGTTGGTGTTGAGAGTGTGGGTGCTTGGTGCGGTTAGTGGGTTGGGGCTGTTTTGTTTGTTGCTCAAAGATTGATACAGAGGTAGACGGAGGTTTTATATCTTACTTCTTTGCTGGGGGTCAATCGATATTGGAGGTTTGTTCCGTGGTGGTGGGATGGCTGCAAAGGACTAGCTGGTGAAGACCGGTTTGTTCTTTGTGGGAGGGCTCTGATCAGGACTGTGCTTTGTTGACTCTCTCTGTCTTGGTTGGCAAAGTCGAGAGAGTATCAGTTGTGGTGACGTGGATGTGAAGATGTGAGTAAGTAGAATCGCTGTTGATGGAGATAACAACTTCGCACTGGAGCTATGACCTGGGCCTGGAGACGGCTAAGCAACAGTTCATCGGTGTAGCTTTGTTCCTGGTTCATATGATGCCAGGGTTGTTGCTGTTTGCTACGCTTCTCACCCTTTATATCGAACTCACTATCAAGTTGATATCAACCGAGCCAAACCTCCAACACCCCAAAGAGCAACCAACTTGAAAGAGTACCACCACCCACAAAGAGCCATCACTCCTCACACACATATAAATAGCCCTCTCATATTGCCCCCGGAATGACCTCGAAACCATTATCAACCTCCACCAAAAAACAACCTACGACACACACACACACACACACACACACTACAGACTCACCACTCAAACCAAACAACAAACCCTCCCACGACAATGGACTTCCCATGGCCGCCCCCAAGCCCACCAAGCGGCAGCAACGCCAGCCTGGCCGACGAACTACCAGACTACAGCACCTCGCCCACCGCATGGCTTGCCGCAGTCGCCAGGAAGGTCTACCCGGCCTCCGACTGCTACCACGGGTGGGACATCCAAATCACCACCGAGGCAGCAGCCCCGGCCTCCTCCTCCGAGGACCACCACAATACCCCCCGCTGCGATGTGATCATGATCTCCCATTCCGCGTCGCGCACCGTGCTGATCCTGGTCGCCGGCCCGGATGATGATGATGAAGCAGACGCCACCATCATCTGGCAGCGCCGCCGGGCGTGTCTGCAGCAGCAGTGGGAACGCCACAACCTGGGCGACGAGTCCGACGAGACCAAGGCGCCGTCCATCCACGGCGCCGTGATCGTCCGCGGCCAGATCATCTTCGGGGAGTACCCGGGCTCTGCCAGCCCATCGTGGGTCAACACCACGGATAACGATGCCCCGTTGGAGCCATGGCGGTTGTCCGAGAATGAAGGCAGGGCCTGGTTTGCCGATAAGCTGCTGGAGATCCGGTTGTCTGCTGGGGAGCCCCGCTATGAGGTGGCGTACTGGGTCTGGACGAAGCTGGGATCGTATGCGGACTGGCTGAATCTTGGGAAATACGACCCGCTTGAGTTTGAGTAAACAATTCACCACACCCACCCCATTTGTGGTTGTGTCATGGTCTGAGGTTGTCATAGTCTGAGGAAGATTTCACAATTGAATTTCAAAGATATTCTGATATTATAAGTTTGATGCATCGTAGTAACCACACCTTATTGCAACTTTATTCCCTTTTCTTGTCCGCGAGTTCGCCCTCCTCGGCGAACCGCAGGCGCTTGCCGTACACCCACTTGGTGCGGCCGAGAAGAGTCCCCGCCGCGAATCCCAAGTACGCGCCTGCCAGAATGGTGATGGGGAAGGCTTGCCACGGACGGTCCCTATGGATCATTAGCATGTCATATGAACCGACTAGTATCATCACCCTTGAACCATGCACTGCACGCCCAGACACTGCATCCCACTCAAACAAATAGGCAATGAACTCACCAGTCCAATGGAATAGGCACCGCGCCCAACCAAGCCCCAACGCAAGTCCCCAACGCCGCTCCCCACACGGCATCAGCCGGTCGACCCGCGCCCCAGACCTCCCTCCAGACCGCCCCATCAACCCCATGCACGTAAACCAAGGGCACGGCCGTCAGGAGAGCCATATGCGCCGCACAGAGCGCCGTCTGGGCATGGTGCGTGGTGAACGGGGCGCCGAAGAGAACGAGGAGGATGGCCAGGACCGGGGTGGCCAGGAGGGCCGTCAGGATGAGGGCGAGGAGTGAAGGCTGGACGAGTTCGCACATTAGCATGGTCTTATCTAGTACATCGTAGCAGTAAGCGTAGCATAGATTCTGCTACACTTGCACATGTCACAACAATCTTGCAAGAAAAAGCACTTACAATAACCTTCCCTCCCAATCCACCCAGCACCCCACCCCCTACGCCAGCGCCCGCGCCGCCGCTTCCACCACTACCGCCCTTGCGACGCGCAGGCCGTCCCGGACGGAGGATGATGTTGCTCGAGCTGGAGCTTGTTCCGGAGGGGGTCGCACCGGAGGAGCTGCTGCCCGGGGTGTTGTCAAGCGACCCGCCCGCCGGTGGGAGACAGATGATCGCAAACACGACCTGACTGGCGGCCAGGAACGGAAGCGCGTTCAACATCTCCGACACGGGATCGTTGACGAGTTGGGGGAAGCGGACGGCGAATCCCAAGAGAACGGCCGCGGGGTGGGCGAAGGAATAAATGCGCGCGAGCTGCGAGGGGAGGATGCGAACGGGGGGCGAGGACTTGAGGATCGGCGGGGGGCCGCCGCCGCTGTTGCTGCTGCTGCTACTGCTGCTACTGCTGCTGCTGCTGTTGTTGTTGACGTGGATAGCGGACATTGCTCCGGTCGCTGTGGGTGAGGCAGGAGAGGAGACCATCTTGTGCGCCAGAAATTGACAAGAAACAAAGCTGTCAAGATGGGGGTGGAGGCAGCTCGGGGAAAAAGAAGTTGGGAGAAGGAGAGAAGGGGAGCCCCGGAGAAGGCGGAAGCGGAAAGAATCGAGGCCGGGTGCCTCAGGTGTCAACAGCTCGGGGGGTAGAGCACAAACAGTACAAACAGTACAAACAGTACAAACGGATCTAACTACTGCACCGCGCGCGCACATTGACCACAAACCAGGTGAGTACAACCTACACTTACACAACTCTTTCACTCTTCTACTCGTTGCTCATCTACTTATCACACAGCGAGATTCTGTACGTCTACATCGCTTTTATTCAGCGCTACCCTTTCCCGAACTAATCAATACATACATCAGTCGTAACCCATAAAGCATCAGGCGCAGCTGCAGCCAAAGTATGGCAGCACATTCCTCCCTGCACATCCTCATACATAACTTCGCCTGTCTCATCTAGGACAGTTCTCGTCATCCAAAATCCGGAACATAACAAAGGAAAAAGTACACAGAAATTCTATGACGGTACACTAGGCCCCGGTCCGGACTCAGCCTTCTCTTCGTGAACCGTCTGCAATGGCTCGGAAGGAGGCGCTGCTGCTACTGCCTCAGCGGAGTCTGTGGGGTGATCCGTGGGTATTGTTGGTACAGTGGGCTCAAAACCGGCCACTTTAGGCTCCAGAGGTTCAGCGCCCGGCTCAGTGACAGAGTCAGTGCCAGGCGCAAGGCTAGGCTCAGCACTAGGCTCCGTACTTGGCTCCGTACTTGGCTCAGTGCCAGGTTCGGTGCTGGGCTCAGTATTCGGCTCCGTGCTAGGCTCAGTGGAACTCGTCTCCGTAGGAACAGCAGCTGGGGCATCGGAAACGGCCGGGACCACGGAAGCCTCAGCAGCAGGTGCAGGGACAGCAGACGTCATAACTGGGCTCTCAGGCATGTGAGGCTCTTCGGGAATCGGTGGCGGGAGTCCAGAGCCAGGCAGAGGGGACACCGGAGAACCGACGGTCGCATCCTTGGGGTGGCTAGTCGAATCGATCGGTGCCGGTCGGTGTCGCACATCTGTAGCGGAAGGTGAGAGCGGTTGCGTTGAGATAATCGAATCCGCGTCGTTCACAGGACTGCGCGTGCGATCGCGCTCCGTGGAATCCTTGACGCCATCTCGCACTTGAGCAACCTTGGCTTTGAATTTCCCAAACAGACTACGCTTTTCCGGCTCCGACGCCAACGACGCTTCTCGCGAGCCCCCGGGGTTGCTGACTTCGGCGTCGAGACTTAATGGTTGGTAGCTCGGGTCGTTGGCAAACTGCTGCAGGTCTGACGGGGAGCTCCTGCTGGCATGGTGCCAGCTGCCGATCGAGCTGGTACTCCGGTCTGCGCCCGGAGTCGACGCCATGAGCGGGGGCGAACCCAAGCCCAGGCCAATCTGCTCATTGCTGCGCTTGGACGACCGTGGGAATCGCCAGCTGCGGCGGTGTTCCTTGCGTTCTGCGCGCGACGCCTCTTCCGCCGCATCTACATCCGAGTAGTCCGTGAACGACGACCGGGAGTTCATCGACGGGGTGCGAGATCCGTAGGGTCGGAGCGAGGTGTCGCCCATCTGGCCGCCCTCAGTCTGCGAAGCCTGCTTTTCGGGCCGACCTTCTCGCGGTGGGCTCAGTTCATCGGAACTAGTGGTTTGGGGAGGACGAGGAGTTGCGCCGCCCACCTCATTGCCAGCATCCGTCGACCGAGGCCCATGCAGAATCGCGGCCAACCCAGGCTCGGATGTCGCGGCTTGCAGCGAATGAGAAGAGCTCTGCGCACTCTCGCTCGCGCTGCCGGGAATTCGTTTCTTCTTCAACCGATTCGGCTGTCGGGGTTCCCGGCCTTCTCCGCTCGGCGGTGGTGATTTGGAGAAGAAACTCGACAGCTTGCGCTCCCGCGTCGGAGTCACCACAGCGGGCGGGGGAGATACCGTTCGCGCAGCAGGAGGCAGGCCTTCATGCAGTACCGGTCGCTCTGTGACTGGTTTTAGTGGCACGGGCTTCTCGGTTGGAGTTGACCCATTTTCAACGTTCGCCCTGGGAATCGGTCCATGGGTCGACGAGTGAACATAGACAACCCCCACCCCAGTGCCTGTTGTTGCAGGTGGAGATTGGGGGTTGCTGGGCTGTGGGCTAACCGCTGGTTGAGGGTTGCTCGGTTGTGGGAGAACTGCTTGCTCGGGTACTGCTGGCGCAGGGGTCGATTGCACGGGAGGCCGGCCTGGCATGAGCTGCGCAGGGATGGGCGGCCTAGACGCAGGCTGCGCTTCGCTGGGTGGAGGGACAGGAGAGGGCTGGGTGTTATTAACGGTGGTAACGTTAGGTGGTGATTGGATGGTAGTACTGGAGGTGCTGGACAGGGTTTTGTCCTCCTCCTCAACGGTGGGTGGCGCACGGCTGGACGATCGGGAATGTTGCGCGGAGGTGCGATTCGACGAGTTCAACCCGGTCGACTCAACAACCCGTCCATAGCGATGGGGAGGAATGGCTGGGGACATCTTGGAGGGCAAGGTGTTGCTGCGATGCACACCCGCTCCGCTCATCGAGGGTGGCGTCGCCGGGCTGGCGTTGTTCGAGTTGCGCGAATTCCGCGACGAGACAGACACATTCCTGCGAAGGCTTTCGTACTTGCGGAAGCTCTCCCCGCCGCCACTAGCACTCGAGACGGAGCGTCGGATGTTGGTGGAATGAGTAGTGGGCCGGCGCGTCACACCTCCTTCGACCTCCTTGAGTGTTTGTTCATCAGCAGCCGTCCCGTTCATTCCGAACAAGAAATGGTCCTGATTCTCAATCAGGAAGATCAGCACATCCTGGCTCAGCTTGTATTCGTCCGGCGACATGTCGTGTTGCGGATGCGACAGCAGCCCGGGCTGGAAAATAGCGGACAGGTTGGCGGAGGTCATGCGGTTCTGGTCCGATTTCGATGCGAAAACCGCGAGAAGATCCAGAATGTAGAGGAGCAGTTGCTTGTTCAGAGGGGGCAACTCGCGGATCAGCTGTTGGTACGCGGCAACGGCCTTCGCATGATCAAAGGCCTCCGACTCGTTGGGAGGGGCATTGTTCTGCATTTGTTCTTGAACTTGTCTTTGGTAGGTGCGGAGCGGCTCGCGGAAACGTTCGTAAAAGTCCAAGGGGACGATCGGCTCTGGTAGTTGGTTGAGGTAGCGTCGCAGCACGTTGGCTGCGTCGTGCACTGTGTATCCCGTCCAGTCGAGGCCTTTGCCATATCGCTCGGGGGAGTCGAACACCTCTTGAAGGTCCTTGATGCGTTTGGCAGACCCGCTGAGACGGAAGATACCCTCAACGTCGGTCGCTAGACCCCTGGATCAGTCCTGGTCAGAATCAGCGAAGAGCAAGACCGGCATACCTTTCTCCTTCAAGAACACCCCACACTTGGCCACCACGATAGGCACATAGCCGTAGATGAAGCTCTCTCCGTTATCGTTGGTCAGCGAAATGGCGACATTGGCGTACTTGATGCTGACGTTGAGCGGGACGCCGAAGATACCCTGCGGTTTCTCTATAGATTCATGATCAGCGCATGACCCGCAAAAAAAAAAAAAGACCCTCGGCTAGAGTAATGGAAACAGGCAGTCGGACTCTGTCCGATGCTAAGGGGAGCAGACCGGGCCTGGACCGGATGCGAGTCATGGTGTCTCCCAGCAGTGACGCAGATCAACAGCAGATGACCGCATCGCATCTGGCACCACCCTTGCACTGCAGCCTCCCAGGCCTCAGCCTCAGATTTGTTCCTCCACGCAAACATACCTTTCGGTTCCTCCTTGCGAGTGTTTCTTTTGAACTGCCTCCACCAGGAAGCCAGATCCCGTTTCGAAGGCGGCGAGGTTGCGATGACGTCTGGCTGGGCAGTCGGGGGCGGAAGTGGGTGCAGCGGCTCCACGCCCGCGTGCGATTTGCCCGTGACCATGGTGAGGAGGAAATGCGCGACGGAGACGAGGGTTGGGAGGAAGGGGGGGGGAGAGGGGCGAGATGCGACACTGGCGGTATTGAAATAGAGAAAGTAGCGACACGACCAGACCAGACCAGACCAGACCCAGCTAGCAAAAAAGAAAAAAAACCGAGGCTGCTGTCACCGCCCTCGCGTTGGCGCAAGAAATTCCGGGGCTGGGAAGCGTTGATCCCAAAATAGCACGAGGGCTAGTCAGGCAGCGGATTTAGGTGCCGCGCCGTCGGGGAAACAGCGTACAATGGGAGGGGAAACCCGGGGAAATGGGCCCAGGTGCGTCTCGAACGGTGTAGGGCGATCGAGGGGAAAGGAAACGAGAAAGAGAGAGAAACGGGGGAGGGAGAATGTGAGAGGGGTGGATAGAAGGGGGAGAGAAAAGAAATCAGGAGGAGGAGGAGGAGGAAGAGGAAGAGGAAGAGGAAGAAGAAGAGGAAGAAAGGGAGACGAACAGGCAGGGATGATAGATGGGCGGGCGGGATGAAAGGGGAGCGAGCCAGAGCGTCACAGTTAGGTAGAGTAAGTTAGTTAAGTGGTAAGTGGTAAGTGGTAGTGAAGTAAGAGAGGGAAGCCACAAAAGCGAATCAATCGATTTCTCGATAGGCACGGGGACGAAAAGCTGCACAACCCTGTCAGGTGTTGAATTTTGGTAGAGTGGTTGTTGTTGGAGGTGGGCTTTTTTTTGGTGTTTTTCTTTCTTTTTTTTTAGAGGTAAAGAGAAAGGAGGTAACTTAGATAGAGAGAGGTACTGTACTGTAGGTGATAAAAAGAGGGAAGATTATCACACTCGACGTTGTCGTCGTCGTCGTCGTCAGTTTTGCACACACCCACACTCTCACTCGTTCCCAATCACTAGCAGACCACGCACACACAATCCACTTCAAGAGTGGACTGACAGAGAGAGGGCTGACTTTTGGACCCTCCGACAGGGTGCAAAGGAGGTGTGCGTGCTGGTCGATCCGGGGATGAAGAGCCAATGACCATCATCGGCAAAAGGGGGGCAAACGGAGGAAGGAGACTGGTCCAGAAGAGATCGTCAAAGACCAAAGACGGACACGAGTCTGGTACTGGACTGGATTGATGATGGTGATGGATGGGGAAGGAGGAAATTGGAGAATGAATGATTGATTGATTGTTGGTTGATGATTGATGGACGTCAGTCAATTGATGGGGAATAATAAGAATTCGGAGGGCGGGACCGGAGGAAGAGAGAGCGAAAGAGAATTGACAATTTTGACAGAAGGAGAGTACACAGTAAGTCAAAAGGTAAAGGATGGGGAACAATAATGCCCGCCCCTCTCTTTAGCATTGATCGCCTATCGGATGTGAGGTATGTAAATTGGAAGAGAGAGTGCGTGCGTGTGTATGCGATTGAGTATAGATTAGTAGTGAGTTACTTGGTCTAAGTACTGTACATATAGCACTGTACCGTAGACTTAAGACTATCAATTATCAAAAACGAGGGAGGAAGGAAAACGATTAAATGTCAATAATTCTCCATCTTATTAATCTTCCGGAGCGGTGCATCGAAAAGATGTCGATGATTATCGTTCGAACCCACTTCGGATGGATGTCTCCTCGAACCAGTTCCAGGGATCCAGGGTTTCTGGCACGAAACGACAGAAGCAAAGGGGATTATTCCCTGGGCTTTTCCCTTTCCCTTTCCTCTTTTTTCTCCCGTCTACCCTTTTACCCTTTCCTTCAGACCCATGATCCGACGGTTCTGGCCCTGGATCTAGTCAGTCTACTAGGCGGTTCTTCAATCATTCCGTTACGACGGTTGGATTAATCTGCTGCTAACTACTGCAGATCGAGCCACTAGCAGGAGGCCCAACAGAGTGAGACACTCAATCCACCTAAACTGCTAGTCTAAGCAGTCGGAGTAGTCAAGCCCACCAAAAAGGCCCCCCATCTAGTCTAGTCTGGTCTAGTCCTACGTGGTGAAGAAAAACACCAGACTCGGTGGATGACTGACTGATGCAGTTCGCAGTTGACTCCACGAGAAGCAAGAATGAAGATGACCAACTGTTCGTTCATTGTGAAACGGTCTGGGCCAGGTTGATACATTTCTCGGTAAGAGCCACGCAAGAACGCAAGAGAAAAGAAGGGGGGGAAAGGGAAAAGCCCCATTCTTGTTCTCTCCGTCTCCTACTTTCTGTCTTCTAGGCCTCCAGGGCGTGTCCTAAAAATATGAATGGGCCAGGATCGTGGTGCCTGTCGGTCTGCCTGTCAGCAGATGCAACCCTTGGTAGTAGTAGTAGTAGTACGTAGTTAATACATTCGGTAGTTGAATGGCTCCGTCACTGCTCCGTCCCCTTCATTTTCCCTTTCTTGCCCCTCCCACAGAAACAGTAGAGGACCACTCCATGACGAACTCTACCGCGGTTCACCCGATCAGCAACTGGCTTACTCTGTACTGTATACTCCGTACTTACTATACACCCCAAAGTTAGGTGGCTGTCATCCCAAACGGCCCGACACTGGACCTAGGCAGGCGGACGGATTATTCAGCGGGATCGCAAGTGTTGGTGGGAAACAATAAGATCTTCTTCTCATCCCCTCTTTATTGTCTGGTCATGCCGCTGCCGATCCTGGAATTGAGAAGGACACGCACGGATTGTATTGTAGACCTGACCTGGGGGAGGGAGGGGAGAAAAGGATTGGGTGGACTGAGGCGGTACCTAGTAGAGTTTCGTACGGGGCAGGGGAAGAGGATATTTCCCTTATTCCCTTTGATTCCCTAATGATCCAGCATCGACCGTCGTCCAGATCCCAGGGTGGTGATGGTCCCAACCATGGTTCTTGGGGCCAGCCAGACAGTCGGGGTCCAGGACTCCCCCAGCTGGGCGTGTGCTTTTTTTAAACTCTGCCGCAAAGGGCTGACGGTTGTCTCGTCTCGTCTTGTACGGAGTAGCGTCTCGTCCACGGTCGCCTCGGGTCCTGCTCGATGGAGCAACCGACGGAGCCGAGAGATTCCGGATTTCAGCTGAGTCAGACACGGCTGCTTCACGTGATGTCACGGGTAGGGGACAGCCGACTTCACGTGATTCTCGCTCAAGTGATGGCACGTGATCGCCGCAGAGCCTGCGGTCCGCTGTGAAGCTCCGGAGCTGGTCGTCATCGAGAACTATCAAAGTTGCTTGCTGTGTGCATTCCCCGATTTCCTGAACACTTCCACCATTTACCCCAACTTTATATCACCATGGAAGGGTACGTGTCAAAACATGCAATTGCGACTTCGATAATGTTCTTCCCACAAGATCATCTGCTGACCAGCCTAGACTCAATGCCTCGGAACAGCGCGAGCTCGCTGCCCGCATGGAGAGAAAGCAGCTGAAGGAGTTTATGACTGTACGTACCTATCTTATCCCAAGGCTGTTTCCGATTCGATTTCCCTCGCAGTTTGCCCTGTGACTATGCCAAGATACACCATTCGCCTACGATAAACTTATCCCTAGTTACCGCTTTCCGCACATTTACTGACCCTGCCGGTCCTTCCAGATGTACTCCAAGCTCGTGCAGAAGTGCTTCGACGACTGCGTCAACGACTTCACCACCAAGTCCCTGATCAACCGTGAGGAGAGCTGCGTGATGCGCTGTGTTGACAAGTACATGAAGGGTTCGGCCCGGTTGAACGAGCGGTTCCAGGAGCAGAACGCAGCCATGATGCAGCAGGGCCAGATGCCGGGTCGGTAAACTGGTGCTTTGTACGATCTTGTCTTGCTGGGTAGTTCTTGCATTCGGTTTGGCGAACTGTGTATAAAATCTTAGAATTCAACGACGAGCTCCTGGTTTCGGAAGATATATGATGTTTCGGGAATGCTGTTGGTACGAGCCGGCGTACAGTGTAGTCTGAGCTCGTGCTTGAGTGCGCACCAACTCGGATCGAATGAGCCATGCAGCACACGATGGTAGGAGGATAAAAGCCTCGTGAATTGGATCTTGTCGAGGCTACACACCAGATCACCTTAGATCATCCTACCAAAACAAGTCTCGTATCAATGAAGCAGGCGTTGTACACGTAGGCTCAACTCATAAAGCTCTTCCCGGTCAATTCGTAGGTCCCTCGTATGCCGTCCCGTCATTCCTCATTGGTTGGGTTGCTGCGCAGGTCCCAGACATTGTTCCTGAGGTGTCGAGAGAGTATACAGTCAAATGCTTGCTTTGGTACATTGTCGTCAGCTAAATGAAATCCCGAACAGATCTTCAGTATGTCCGGATCATGAGTACAAGCTCGTATCTGCCATCGACCCCTAACCTACCACGCAAAATCACCACGACGACCGACCTGCCTTGCTGCCCCCCAAATCAGAAAGCGGTGGAGCAGCCGATGTCGGGTCGACGAGAGCCGACCCATCTCGTACATTGATAAAGTAGTACTCGAGAGCAATCTTTCGCACTACGAAAGGAAAATGTCTGAAAATTGCTCAATTGGGTGTCTTTTGGAGATAGGCCGAGACTTCGCCGATAAATGTATCTCTCTCTGGACGACGATAATCGATAAGGGCGATAGGTAACTACCTCCTAGTAGGTATTGGCGGCGATGAAGGAATCGGGCACGGTGCCAAGCGGCCGGAAAATATTGCCCTTTCTGTGAATCCACACTAAGATCCATGATGACTCAAAAGTCTCAAATGATAAGAGGTGGTGGGGACGGACTGGACGGAGTGGGGACGGAGCCTACTGGGTACATTTTGGACATTTTGGCGTGTTTGCATGGTTTACAGCATGACTAATCCCATACTGCCTCTGCTATGAACCTTGAAAAGTATGATTGAATGATGCGATGATGCGATGATGCGATGATGCGGAGAGAATGAGGGGCATTCCGTGGCTATGCATGTTGTTGCACTCACTATCGGCTTCACTGCTCCTCTAATCCTCAGCCTCGGATGCTCCTCCGAAGCTATAGCCTAGCTACTGTATAGCAAATTGTACGTATAGTAAATACCGTGCCCCTCACGCCTTCTCCTCTTCTCTTCTCTCCTCCTCTTCTCATCCCCTCCCCTCCCCCTCATCGGCAAAACTCCAACTCCACTTCTCCCTGCTGTCTGTCCGGTTCGAGCAATTTATTCCCGCCCGGACCACTTTACTTTCCACCGCTTTCTTTTCATCTTCCATCATCTCTCTTTTCTTTCTTATATCCTCCCCCCCCACCTGCCTTCCCTTGGCTCCGTCTAAGCTACCATCTTTGACCTGATACCCATCGTCATCACAATGGCTGACACCGTAGGAAAGGTGAGCTACCCCTCCATAGCTTGGTGTCACCCGCGTTCTCTCGCTAACTTGTCTTCTCTAGACCATCACCTGCAAGGTGAGCAGCTTCGTCTAACGGACCCAAATAGCACAATCCGATTGATTTGATTTGAAAAATCTAGGCTGCTGTCGCCTGGGGCGCCGGAGAGCCTCTCTCCATCGAGGACATTGAGGTCGCACCTCCCAGGGCTCACGAGGTTCGCATCCAGATCCACCACACCGGTGTCTGCCACACAGGTCCGTAATATATCTACTGCGATGATTTGCTTTTTCCAACTGACCCCCGTCAGATGCCTACACTCTCTCCGGAAAGGACCCGGAGGGTGCTTTCCCCGTCGTCCTGGGTCACGAGGGTGCCGGTATCGTCGAGTCCGTCGGCGAGGGCGTCACCTCCGTGAAGCCCGGCGACTATGTCATTGCTCTTTAGTGAGTATATCTGCCTCTCATCACTTTGATCTCGATCTAACCACCGGGTCAGCACCCCCGAGTGCCGGGAGTGCAAGTTCTGCAAGTCCGGCAAGACCAACCTCTGCGGTAAGATCCGCGCCACCCAGGGCAAGGGTGTCATGCCCGACGGCACCTCGCGCTTCAAGGCGCGCGGCAAGGACCTCCTGCACTTCATGGGCACCTCGACCTTCTCGCAGTACACCGTGGTGGCCGACATCTCGGTGGTGGCCGTGACGCCCAAGATCCCCACCGACCGCTCGTGCCTGCTGGGCTGCGGTATCACCACCGGATACGGCGCCGCCGTTGAGACCGCCAAGGTCGAGGAGGGCTCCAACATCGCCGTGTTCGGCGCGGGCTGCGTCGGGCTGTCGGTGATCCAGGGTGCGGTCAAGAACAAGGCCGGCAAGATCATCGTCGTGGACGTCAACGACGGCAAGGAGGCGTGGGCCCGCAAGTTCGGCGCCACCGACTTCGTCAACCCCACCAAGCTCAGCGGCAAGACGATCCAGGAGCAGCTGATCGAGATGACCGACGGCGGCTGCGACTACACCTTCGACTGCACGGGTAATGTCGGGGTGATGCGCGCGGCCCTGGAGGCGTGCCACAAGGGATGGGGCCAGAGCATTGTGATTGGTGTTGCCGCTGCCGGGCAGGAGATCTCCACTCGCCGTAAGTTTTTCTGTCGGTGTATTCAGGGCGATGTGCTAACCTCGTGCAGCATTCCAGCTGGTTACCGGCCGTGTGTGGAAGGGATGTGCCTTCGGTGGGATCAAGGGCCGCACGCAGCTGCCTGGCCTGGTTGACGACTACCTGAACGGCCAGCTGAAGGTGGACGAGTTCATCACGCACCGGGAGAAGTTGGCGGACATCAACACCGCGTTTGAGCAGATGAAGCAGGGCGACTGCGTTCGCTGTGTGGTTGATATGTCGTAGATGAAAAGTTATGACTGAAATTGAAGTTGAATATTGAATGCCATATGAATCACCGAATCTACCCATGCGCCGACTGCTCTACTTCCGGCTGTGCTGTATATATGTTAGGCTGGTCCGCAAGGTCCTCATGAGGACCTGGTAGACAAGCAGCACAATGAAGATCAGTCTGTACCCCGCCAGAGACATAAGACCATGCGACCAAGTATCGAAGAACACACCACCGTCCAAGCAAAGAACATACGTTATAATCTTCCCGACCAAAGAACAACGTACTCAATCCCAGATATCATATATCTACCACAAATCCCCACCCCTATCTCCAAACGCACCCATTATCTCCTATCCCCCCACACCCAGATAACAAACCCCTCTATCAAGACGAAAGTCGGCCAACTTCCGATGGCCCCGTGCATAGGCCGTATCCGACAGTACCCGCCCACGGCAGCAACTGAGGGGAAGAAGAGGGGCTGAGTTCGAGTACGCAGATAACTGTCGACAACGCAATAGTATTGTATCTCCGATGACGGAGTGTACCAACCTCCCACCAGCTATATAACCAGCACCAGCACCAGCACCAGCACGAACACATACACATACACATCCTCATACCCAAACACCAAAACCAAGACTCAGTCCGACACACCACACCCCCAACCGAACCCAAAATGCCACCCCCCCAAACCACCGACCCCATCTCCCTCCCAGCGCCCTTCTCCTCGATCCCCCGCCTCACGCTAACCCTCGGCCCCTCCCCGATCCACCCGCTCCCCCGCATAACCGCCGACCTGAGCACGCCCACCAACCGCGTCCACATCTACGCCAAACGCGACGACCTCTCCTCGCACCTAGCCTACGGGGGCAACAAGACCCGGAAACTGGAGTACATCCTCGCGCCCGCGGTGCTACCCCCTACCCAACAAACCAACCAACCCCAAACCCAACCCCCCTCCCCTTCCACCACCACCACCACCACCTCCGGGGAATGGCGCAAAGCAACCACCCTCATCTCGATCGGCGGCCTGCAATCCAACCACACGCGGCAAGTGGCGGCGTGCGCCGCTTACCTGGGCCTGAAAGCGCGGCTGATCCAAGAGAACTGGGTGCCGGACTACGCGGCGCACAGCCGCGTGTACGACAAGGTGGGCAACCTGCAGCTGTCGCGGCTGATGGGGGCGGACGTGCGGATCCACCTGCCCACGGAGTTCGGGATCGGGGAGAAGGAGACGCTGCGCGCGCTGGAGGAGGAGTGTCGGGGCAGCGGGGAGGTGCCCTACTATATTCCGGCGGGGGGGTCGGATCATCCGCTTGGCGGGGTGGGGTTTGCGCGGTGGGCGTGGGAGGTGAAGCACCAAGAGGAAACGGGGGCGGTGCTGCCGGCCGGGGAGAGGTTCGATACCGTGGTGGTTTGTGCGGTGACGGGGGGCACGTTGGGGGGCATGATTGCTGGGTTTAAGTTGCTCGAGAAGTTGGATCCCGAGGGGGAAGGAGGCCCGAGGAAGAGGAAGGTCGTCGGCATTGATGCGAGTGCGAAGCCGGAGGAGACGCGCGCCCAGGTGTTGCGGATTGCGAGGGTGACTGCGACGCAGATCGGGTTGACCGAGGAGGATATCGCCGAGGAGGATGTGGTGCTGGTCGAGGATTATCATGCCGGGCTGTATGGTGTGCCTGACCGGCAGACCTGGGAGGCCATTGAGTATGCGGCCCGCATGGAGGCGTTTATCACCGACCCCGTCTACGAAGGGAAGAGTTTCGCCGGCATGGTGGATTTGATTCGCAAAGGGAAGATTACGGGCAATGTGCTGTATGCTCATCTGGGGGGGCAGCTGGCGCTGAATGCGTATACGGATGTGGGCGAGAGGCAGGAGGGGGTGAATTAGGCTGACGTTTATGGAGAAGACAACGCATGTCAATTTATCAATCAGCGATCCAAGTTGGTTTGAAGCAACGCATATCAATGTATTAATGAGTGACTAAAGTTAGCTTAAGTGATGAGCTATGGATGGTGGTGGCAAGTAAAAATACTGCCCCTACAGAAGCTTGTGCTCAAGAGTCATCTCAGACTCAGGCTGCAGGCCAACACACGCCCGGAAGATGTTGGTCAAGGCGTTGCGCTGCTTGGCCAGCGAGTTGACCACCGGAGTGCCAGGGGGCGTCAAAGGAGCCTTGAGCATGTAGCTCAGCACGCTGAGCACGCTGTGGAACCCGCGGTACTCTTCCGCCTCCTCCGCCTTCCAGCTGATGCGCGTCATCATCTCCGCCACCAACACCAGATCGATGATCAGAGGAGACGCCAGCAGCGAGTCCTCGCAGATGTTGAACAGACTGATCGTCTGGTGGCCTCCCATGAAGATCTCCGCGTAGTACTCGTCCAGCGCACGCTTGTTGTCGCCAACAGCCGGCATGTACTTGATCACAACGGTGTGGTCGGGGTGCTCATCCTCCGCATACAGGATCTTGTTGGCAGCGACCATGTCGTCCACCACGTTCGACTTGGAGATCTCCTTGGAGCGGAACTGCTTCTGCGAGCTCAGGTTCTTGCCGTCGTTGTTGCCCAGGTGGTTGTAGCTGGCAATCGAGGTGAGCTTGATACCCGCGTTGATCAGGAAGTCGACAAGGGCACTCTTCATCTTGGTCTGGCCAGACTTGAAGTCGTCACCGCCAATGAACGCTCCGTACTTCTCCGCCAGCTGAAGAGCTCCGGGAACGAAGGTGTTCTGGGGAGAGCCGTTGATGAAGGGAATATTGTCGAGGATACAAGCAACAGCAAAGACAGTCGAAGGAGAGACCTCGAGGTGTCCATCCTTGATGGCCGCCAGCAGGTTGTCGGCGGTGTCATTGACGCCCGGCACAATGTCGGCATACCGCTCAGTGTTGGCAGTCCACATGACCACGACCTTGTCGAGACCGTTCTGGGCCTTGAACTCACGCATGTCCTTCTGGATCTGCTCCACGTGAGCCCAGCAGGCCTTGGATCCCTCCAGCACGTTATCCGCCCGGTCTTCCTGGTTGGCAGCAATGAAGTCCGGGTAGTAGATACTGGGCAGGGGCTTCATCTCGGCCATCTCCTTGCGCACCAGCTGCTTGAGACCAGGCTCAAGAACCTGGGCCCGGTCCATCGCGTCCGCCAGGTTCATGCTGCTGATGTCCCACCCACCAACGACCAGGTCATTGGGGTGCACCATGGGCAGCATGTCGTGGAAAGGGATGTTGATCTCCTCGCCCGTCTTGGCGTCGGTGCCCAGCTTGATGGTCGATCCCATCACCACAGACCCATAGTAGTTGGAGGCACGCATGCCCTCGCGGGTCTCCCAGCTGAGGCCGCGGCGGTTGGCAATGAGACCGGCAGTCACGGTGGAGCCGTTGTTTCCACCCCAACCGACCATCATCACACCGACTTTGCCCACCTTGCGGTCGACCTTGAAGTGGTAGTTGGTGGCCTTGGGAGTGGCCACCAGCTTGTTGTCGGCCGAGCGGGTGACCTCGGTGGTGTGGTACACATACTGACTTTTGATCTCGGAATCGGTGTACACGACGTTGGGCGAGTTGACGGTAAACAAAGGAGCGGTACGAGCAGACCCGTTCACGGCGCCATTGGCAACAACATGCGAACTAGCGTGGGGAGCCATTGTATTGACAGAGGATCGGAAGCGTTTCGGAATCGAGAGTGGTTAAGGATGGCAGATTAAGCGTTTATTGAATGTGATATGCGCAGTCCGATGCTCCACCACGGTTGGATGAGCGCCGGCCGTTGAACGGGTGGTGCCGTCTAGAAAGAGAACTGTTAGCTCTGAACTTGAACTTGGAAAAGTGATTGTGGACGCGAATTGCTCCAAGGGAAGGACCAATTGCTGTTCCGGGCAACACGATGCTGCTGCAGTGCCAGGTGCCAGGTGCCAGGTGCCAGGTGCCCGTTGACAGCAATCCGGGGGTGGGGGCGCGGGCACTCACGAGTTAAGAAGTGTGGAGAAAATTTTGACGGTGGTATGAGATCACGCCTCGGGCAGAGTGTGATCGAAGAGAGGTTGAAGTTGGAGAAGTTGGTTTACGAAACGAAGATATGGAAGTTTGACGGTGGGTGGAAAAGAAAAAGGAAGGGGAAACTTTTGGAGGGAAGTTGCTCTGGGTTCCTTCTTATAAGACAGACAATCCAGGTACGGACGGAGCAGCTCGGCTCCCGCTGGGCGAGTCCGCAATCGTCCGCCCTCGTCCGCCCGTCCAGCTCCGTCTCAACACTACCCACTACTGCTCGCGCTAGTTGTCCAATCTTCGAACTACCAGCCTACCAGGCGAGTATGCTTAATTGAATTTCTCCGTAGGTACTTATTCTGGATGTGTTGGCAGCCTGGGACAGGAGAATTTCCTCCCAGAGGTTGCGGTGAGCCCCGCGGAGACCAACCTCCCTGCGAGACAGCTGTGTACTGCATATACATAGTAGATCGTGGTCAATTTGCCCATGCTAATCTGCCCGCACGTGCTCCTCAACCATAAATTTCAATTAGTCCGGCATGCTAACTTACCCCTGAGACCGCTGGACTCGTGCCCATTTCCACCGAGGGGACATCACTTCCCAGCAGCAGGCATAGTGGACCATGGGATGGCAGGTACCCGCGGGGCTCCGCTTCGCCGACAGTCCATCGACATACTCAGTAAGAACCCAAGTTCCTGGAGAATCAGCATTACGCAGCCTTCATCCTGCACCAGTACCAAGCCATGCTGCTGCTGCAAGCCAGTCTTTTGGGAAGACGCAATGTTGCTCACCGCAATTGCGGTGAGCAACAGCCAGCTCGGCAGAAGTTGTTCCATGGTTGCCAACTCGGCCCCTGAATTTATGCATCGGTAATGCTGTTTGCGGAGGCTGCGGAGTGCTCTGCTCCTCTCTTATTGCCTGATCGCCTCGCTTAGCACCCGGCACCGCGCACTTGGAATTATGCTGCCTGCCTGTGAGGTCTTGGGAGTTGGGACACGACATCAGTCGTACGTACCCCCGACTGCCCTCTAGATTGGTTCATGTAGGGTTTGTGCTAGTCATCTGGTGATGGTCTGGGGGGGAACTATGTCAGGTGACCATTCCCCGCTGCGGACTTTCAGGCACCATCGGCTCTGGTGCCTTAGGCCGCCAATCTTTGCCTCCAGCTGAGGGCAGGGAGGCGGCTTTTCTCTCAGCATCCTCCACCAATAAATTAACCATCCACCATCTCAAGCCGGGTGCTGACCTCTCGGCTGGAGGAACCGGGCTGCAGTAGTTGCAAGCAGGGTTCCTTTGACCGCACAACGATGTGATCTCACTTTTCTTCTTCCGTCGATGGCCAGACACGGCACAGCCGTTGGCCCCCAATTGAGGCTTTTTGTTTAGTCGAAGTCTGTATACGAAAGATGCTAGACTACCTAGTACCCTCTACGCACTATAGCGACCTTTTTGTAGACTGGTTCGGCGCTAGATAGGATGAGACGGCACACGCCGGAGTCCGGTCCCGGGTCCTTCGCTTGTGTGCAGCATCAGCATCTACCCGCACGCTGTGTACGGAGTACGCCTCACGGTCACACATTCCAGCCATTGACGATGACACGCAGTCGACTGACTTCATGAGCAGCATCAATTGCCATAAACCTGGAAGACTCAAAAGTTGAGCGTGATGTGCAATTGCCGACCACCGCATTCACTGCCGTCGACACGAACCATGGGACGGGGGTGGTTACCGCTTGTTGTGGCCTCAAAGCCTAGGATCAACCTGGCTCACTGTTGATCTGCGCCGCAAGACGGGATAGAAAGCAGCACCTGGAGGACCGTCTGAGCCAGACACTAGTGCCGACTCGCCTGATGGACCACCTCCTCTGCCCGCTCGCGCGACAAGCATTGTCTGTCACAACGATCGGCGGCGGCCTACCAAGGGTTGACAGTCAGCATTTTCGGTATCGTGACCTCCCGGCTCCCGGTCCACTGCCCCAGACCTGGTCTCCCCTTGCATTCGCGACGGTCGGGAATTAATGACAATTATGGTTTGCGCATGGGATCTGCCTGTCCTTGCGGGGTTCACCCATCTTATCCATCGGGGGGGGTAGTTGTTTGGTTGTAATGAGCCAGACGGTCGAAAGCAAGGATGCAGTCCTGAGAGTAGAAACCCCATAAGGATCGGAAATGGACAATCGCACGAACTTTAATGATGGGGATGGATCCCAATGAGATCACTTGGAAACCAAGTCCAGCGTCACAGGAGGGAGGCAGGAGGGAGGCTCGTGCACTGAAACGAACAAACGAACAAGCTGCAAGTCGGGATCAAAGTGAAACCACAAGGCTTCTGGGTCGTGAAGTAGGTGGGTGGGTGGAAGGAATGGGGCTAGTTGTTGCAAAACATAGAGACCAGGAAGCAGAAGAGGAGGATAACTAACCGTGTAACTAATGGACCCTTTGCATCAGACCATGGGGTGTGCATAACCCCTGAGCCACGATCGGCAGTGGAGGATGACCGGTTCAGGGGGGGCGAAGATGACGGACTGATCGCTCACTATGATCGGAACCAGTTTTGCCTCTAGAAAACTCAAGAATTCCCCTGGAATTATATTGTCTTCGTGATTGGAGAGGAGGGAGGTTGGACAATCAGGGGTAATGATTATAGTACGGAGTAGATATTTAAAAATAAGTCGTCAAACACTGATGGAGATAGTCTACCAAACATAGACAGTCTCCTGATGCTGGGAGTCGTCACAGTGCGTACGTCCAGTAAGGCCTGTTCGAGATAGTTGTATGGTGGATTGCATGGTTGCAATGATCCAGACCGAGCCAGAATGGCCATGGAAGCATGAGTGAACCACCCGCCTCACTATAGTTGCCAGTAATTATGATTGTTGTGCACAGTCTGTGTACTGTACAGTCCGGGAG